TATAAATAAATAAGGCTAGCTATAAGCTCTGTACTGTTGCTTAACTCTGCAGACTAACAGCAGGTGGACGGTGTGGTTACACCCGGCAGATAAAACCAAACCTGAAGCGAGGTGGAGAGCTGTTGTGGTGAGTGTAGCTCTCCTGAGCTGAAGCAGCTGCTCTCAAAGAGCTCAGAGGCGTCGTATTTCTCACACAGCTTTCGAGTCTCTCCCTCAGTCTGGTCACCTCGGCCTGCAGCCTCTGGATCGCATCACTAGAAAACACAAAAGATGTGCAAAACAATCACATGAGACAATCTAGCTGGAGGTCACGTTTGCATTTATTATGATTAGTTATTTTCACCACCACAGGTGTCCAAAGTCCAGTAAATGTGACCACTGAAGTGCTGCATTGTGAAAAAAAAAAAAAAAAAATTGCCAACGAGTATCTATCAGGTGTCAGTCCAAACGTACACGCACACACACACACGCGCACACACACACACGCACACTTTGAAAAGAGTCATGCAACACCACACCATGCAGGGATCAATACAGAGTACCTCCTAATATGCAACCACATTCAATAGCAGCCGATTCTGTAATCAAATACATAAAAGAATACGATAGAAAAATTATGTTTAATGATGTTTCTGGGAAAACTTACAGATTAAAAATAAATTTCAGGAAATAACCGACACTATTTTCATTCGTCGGCAATCATTTCTCTGCAGGGAGACAGACACACACACCTGGCCATGTTTGCACAGCTATCGCCATAGCAGCCGCTGCTACACACACTTACTTGCGATTCGCCGCCTGACTGGAGCTCAGTGCTCTGAGCGAATCGTCATGGTGATGCCTTCCAGCGGGGGAAGAGCTCGGGCTGGAGTTGTGGAGGGAATTGATAGATTCTGTGTACTCGTCCTTCTGTCCATCTTCAGACACAGTGTGAGCTGCAGAGGACGACGGCACGTTAAACACACAATGAAAGAAAAGGCTAATGAATAAGAGTGAGAACATAGTAGGAGAATAACAGGACCACATTAGTACAACAATCTCAGTTGAAGGACAGAACTTAGAGACTCACATCTGTCACTTTCCAACCCAAACTCACTGGTCCCACTGTCAGCCCTGGTTTGTTCTGTGTGACGGACGCAGCGCTGTGGAGAGCAGGAGAAAGTGCGTCTCCTCTGCCCTTGTCTGGTTCTCCTCTGCTGGTCACGGTCAAGCTGAGAGTCACTTGTGGGCTCCATAGCCGCGTGACTGCGTGACGATGACGAAGCAGGAGCTGAGACTGGGCCAATGTGAGGATTACCCGGGTCCACCTCCTGAGGCCCTGAAACACTGTCGCAGAATAAAAGAATATTCAAACATGCTGAAAACACAAAAAAATATAAAATAAATAAAATAAGAGACTCAGGAGCTGTAGAGTTGTAGGGCCAAACATCAGTATGCTGTGTGGTATAACATGGGTGGGGGATGGCACGGGAGGGAAAATTCATTGCGCAGTAAATTGGTGTGGAGGCAGTGATGGACTTTCTCACCTCTCTGAGGCCCTCTGGTGGAGAGGACTGGAAGCTGCTGCAGGAGTCAGCCAGCTGCTCTCTGAACAGACAAACCCGCTGTCCGTCTCCGGAGAGATGATCCCATCCTGGTCAACACAACACAGAACAAAGATGATGCAGCATGTAGCTCTACACATTCTAGATGTAGCTGCATCACGTTTGAAGGCAAACATAAGGTTTTATGTATCACTTCAGTGCTTTGGCTTTTAAAACAACTCGTAATTTGGAAGCACTAGAACACACAAAGCAAAAAAAATGAGAAAATGTTTCAAAATTTTAAAAGCCGAAAGTAAAATCTTCTGAGGCTTCAACGCTCCAATCATCAAATGTTAAGAGCTGCCTCATCTAACCGCGCCACATTTGTGACTAAACTCAATGTAATATCAATGACAGACTCTGCAATATAATACTGACCTGAGAAAGCACTCTGCTGCTCCCAGTTTGGAGTTTGGAGTTCCTCTTTTCCAAGGCTGTAATCTCTCCCAGACTGCTCAGACTGCTGCTGTGGGACTTCCCCACCTCTAACCTCCTTCTGCTACTGAGAGGATGGAGTGTGGTGGACTGGCTGGAGGCCCTGCGTGAAGAAGAACTGGACCTACTAGCTTGCTGTTTGACGGTGCGAACAGGAGCCGAGTCCAGATGGTCCGATTTGTCTTTCCTGTCAACAGAGAAGTGCAGCGAATTCAGTCCAGCGACTTAAATTAGCTTCCCATTGAAAATAGGTAGGTAATATTTTACCATTCAAAATAAAAATAATTACATTTAGACAGGAAAAGTACTGTGCAGTGTGAGAGCAAACACTACTGTGCTGCTGATGAAACTACTGCTCATTCCGTCTACTTCTCTGAAGACTTACCTCTGTGGAAGACTTTTCTGGACTTCCAGGTCTCCAGTTCTGTGACTCTGTCTTTCTTTCTCCTCGTCCGAAGGCTGCGTGTCACTTCTTAAGACAGCAGAAGAGGAAGCTCCTTCCCTCTGGCTATTGTCTAAAAGTTTGGGAAGCTCCTTGAAGCTTTGGTAGCGAAACAGAGGAAGGAAAACTTTCAGGGTGCAATAATGAGAGTCCAGCCTGCAGCCTCCTTACCTTCCATTCCTCCTTCTGACAGTGAGAAAAGGAATTGCAAATATTTGGATATCTCCTAACATTTATTAAAAGTCTTCCACAGCACAAGATACAGATGGTCACTATTCATTAAAAAACACAAAGATTCCCACTCACTGATCTATTAGCGTGGCAAAGTCTTGTTCAACGTGTCTTTGTTTGCCATTCAGAGGTTTGAGGTAGAGAGAATTAAGAGTGTCCTCGTCTCCATCACTCTCTTCACTGGCTGAGCTCACCTCCACCGCCGCTGCCTCTCCTGGATCAACCAGCAAAGGCACAGGTGGACTCTGGAAAGAGGTGAAGTTAGATCATATTATATACACACACATATATAAATAAAATCTGCTATAACATCCTGTCATGTCATAGCAGGAGTGTGTTCTCCATTAACCAAAGAAGGTCAAATGTCTGACAGCTACTATTTGTTGAGTTCATTAAGCCGTTTTAACACGAGGGAATGTTGGTATCGCTATGCAGAAGAAACTATTTTCTTTAGCATAACATTATCTTTCAGTGAAAAAATGTCTTCAACTTTTATTATTATTTATTTGCCAATTACTTTTGGATGCATCACAATTGTTTGGTCTATAAAATATAAGAAAATAGAAAATCCCAATAGAATGGGACGTCCCTTGAGATAGATATCTCTGTTCCGAGGGAGAACTGACCGACAGCCCAAAACCCACTTTACAACAAAACAAACAGAAAATCCTCTCATTTGAGAAGCTACAACCATCACATGCTCAGAATTTTGCGTGATATATTATTAAATGATTAGATATTGTGTACTGTTCCAGGACAGAGGGCATTAATACAGACAGAGCTGTTCAACGGTACCTGTGGGTGAGTCAGCGTTTCTCCTCCCTCAGAGGGGACAGATGAAGGGGAGGGGTGAGGAGGTGGAGAGGGAGGAGACACACAGGTGGGCTGCTCTTGTTGCATCTGTTCCACCTGCTCCTTCAGCTCGTCCATACGCAGCCCACACTGAAAGATCAGCCCCTCCAGCTCCCTGACACACACACATGCACACAAAACATAATAAAACCCGAGTGCACATGTGTAAAGAATATCAAATGGAATCTATGACGTATTTATCTTGGGGCGCTCACCGTTCAGGGTCGAAGTGGCTGATTTGTGCCCCATGCTGCTGCAGGACGTTGTGTTCATCCCTCGCTAACAGGTAGCCCCTTTCTAAAGAGTCGAGGCCCTCGGCAAGCTGCGAGAGACCCTGAGAGAGCACGACTTCATTAGTTTGGATTTGAGGTGGCTATTAGAAGTCATTCGTCTGAACTATTTAAACTGAGTTGTTGTTCTTACCTTCATCTGGTCAAAAGCCCCGAGTTGTTTTAGGAGATCCTCAAAAGTCTGCAGCTGAATGAAGAACATTAAAACCTTGATCTCTTTATCACATCATCTCATAAATCTGTCAGGATTTCCATTACTGATGATCAGGGGTGTGAATCTTTCGGTATCTCACAATTCGATTTTGATTCTTGGGGTCACAATATAATTCAAAAACAATTCCCAATTCAAATAGTTTCTCGATTTAGTACATAGAAGTGCTGATATGGCAATGTGGCAAATTATGGCATGAAAGCAGCAAAAGAGAATAAGATTATGGACTTTTTAGATTTGGAAAAGGTTATATCAACCAATTGCAATAATATAAACATCCAAGAATAAACCAAAGGCAACATTAATTTATGCCAAAGTTACACAAAAAAAGATTATTTTACTAAAAAGCCTCAAGAATAACAAATTCAAGTTGTACAAAAAATAAAAATGCCGCCTGATACATGAATACAATTAACAGGCTTTGTACAATAACACTGTATTTGGTGGGTTTTTACAGCAAATCACACAATGATGCTCGACTATACTATGACTTTGTGTGCATGATTACATTCCATCAGTAGCAACATCAAAGTGCTTTTGTAGAAAACCCTTCCTGTTAATAGATACAACAGGTCATTTACCTGCTGGAGGAACTTGTCGGCCTGATTGCAGAGAATCCTGGCCAGCTGCTGTCCCACCTGAGGGTCCGGGCTTCTTGTGGAAGGACAGGAAGATGAACTTCCTGTTCATTTGACAGGTGCAGAGGAAGGAGTTACATGATGCAAGTTACAGAGAATGATGAAACTGTACAGCAATAAATCCATAAAGCAGGGTGACTCATTTATATGAAATATGATTATATGAAGTGATGAATTTGACAGCAAAGCAGTACATATTGAATAGGATGAATGTACTCTGGTGATTGCTGTGTCCGTTTTGGTGAGGAGATGCAGAGTTAAACTCTGCTCGCTGAGCCGGAGGAAAATCCAGCATCATGAACTTTGAAGAGTCCCGGTTTGGTCCAGACAGCACCAAGTGGCCGGGCTTTGGAGGGTCCGAGTACAGGTTCACCTGGTGGAGATATGAATCATAAGTCTGGTGGTATATTGGTGCAACTTTCCCTTTGCTTTTCCTGGTGACATAAGTGACTTTAACTACTGAGCAACAGCACATTTGGTCCTGGTGACAAGGACACTTTACAGAACATATTAAGACTTTTTTGCTGCATAAAGTGTTCAAACTGAGCATTTTTGTAGAAATAATCAAATCATACGACAAACAATAGAGATGATCAAAATTAGTTGCATTTGCTAAGCAACCTAGTGTCATCTAGTGTTGTGTTTTTGTTTGCTCTCTAAAGTCACAACATCAAACAGGTCATTTCAGAGCAGAGAAGACGGACTGAATTTAAACTGAGCTGTGTGATATACGGATTAAACGTAGACACTGGGAGGTCGCCCTTCCCCCTCCACACATACAGAATTGAATGAAAATGAGTGTAAGCCCCTCCCCTCTAAGCAATAAATCACCATGACCTTAAAAGGACCCACACACACACACACACACACTTTCTCCTACCATTACATTCAGCTTGTATCATATTAATTAAACAGTTAACACTGAAAATAATTAGTCAGAAAGATGGAATGATATAAACTAAGATCATTAAACAAACTAGAGTATGTCAGGCCTGAGTGTTTAAGTTTTTAATTCAAAAGAAAATGTGCTTTGTGTAAAATAGCATTACTTGAGCTTGTCTAAGTCTGAGAAGATGCATTTCCAGTTGAATGAATTAATCATTCAGGGTTCACACAACATGAAAAATAAACCTCCCATTGAAAGTAATCAGACAACAAATGTCAGTGTAAAGTGGCTCCTCCCACCCTGCCAGTGTGATGTGAGCTAGCAGAGGGCGGGGGAGACAGATGGTGGTTCAGTGTTGTGGTGATGGAGATGGAGGGGAGGCTGAGGCTAATTTAAAAATAAGTGCTGATTGTGGAGTGCTGCTGCTCCAACAGAAATGATTTAAAGGAGCTACTTCACTACACTCATCCCGTCTCTATTTCTCTTTCATTTCTTTCCTATCCTACTTTTTCGTTCTGACATAATGCTCCGTCTGTGATGTCCTGACAATGTCTGGGCTGTTGGATCTCTATAGGTCTGTCCTGTAGAAATAAAGACACAACAAGCTAATAAACAGTTGAATAAACATCTGAAATTTAAAAAAATGTGCATGTTTATTTTCATAAACCTCCCTCTGAGCACTCTGAAACATTTCATTTCTGTATTGTTGCTTTTTTAAAATCAAATTCTGGCTTCTGTTGTGCAGCTTGATTTTTTCAAACAAATGTATGATACTCATTAACATCTTCATGCTAGAATCCATTAAATAAGGCAATCATATCTCCTTTTTATTCCTGTACTTGGTGAAGGCAGGTACAGGCCACAAAAACACTCAATCAAATCATCTTTGGGCAATTTAAAAACCACAAAATGAAGGAAACGCACAATACTAGTCTGTGTATTCAGCAACGTGACTGAATGCTGAAACAGTACTGACCACATGCAGAAAATACACACAAAAGGGAGTACTGTCATTGGCTAAGAGAGCGTTTTGTTTAGCCACATCATGTGGACTGTGCCGTGGTGTATTTTAGGAACTGGAAAGCTGAAACAGACATACTAGTGCGTTCACTGCTGCTCCTTCGTTTAATGAAAGCTACAGCATTGTAGAAGTGAATCAGGTATTTGTGTTATACACTTATACCTGCCATGTGTGTTTAGAAAAAAAACATATAATGTAATAAAATTAGAGAAAAATAATCATTTCACTTTGAAGCTCCCTTCTGGAAGTGTTATAGTGATTTAAAAATGAGACCAAAAATAAACTTTATGGCACCGTAATGTAATGTTTTTTAAAACCCTGTACTACTGCAAATTATTAAATAGTGATACATTACGGCCTGATTCCTATATTAACTACCTTGGCTGCGAGGCGCAGGCGATCAATGGTGTTCTCCGCCTCGGCGTACTTAGTCAGCAGTCTGTTGTAGTCCTCCTGCAGCGAGATGAGGCGGAGAGGAAATGAGCCAGCAAGAGGAAGAGAAGAGAAGAAAATAGAGAGCGCAGAAGAAGCATGCGAGGAAAGAAACGAGCGAGGAATGAAAAATACAAAGGAAGAGTGGAGGCAAGGAATGAGGGGGCAGAGAGAAGGAAGCAGGATTTACGTATCGTTAAGTTATTTGTCACAGTTGAACAGAGGAGATAAAAATATATTTGTACAACCTGGGGCTTTTTTTCACTGTTTTGGCCCCTTTGTTTCAATGAAGAAATGTCTTAATGCAACAGCTAACTATCAGCTAGCACAAAGTCTGGTCCATAAAGCAATGTTTTACGCAGTTTGGTGTGGAACAACTTGATTGGCCTGCACAGAGCCCTGACCACAAACCCAACCAACTCCTTTGGGGTGAACTAGAGCACCTCGTGTTTTGTGGAAAGCCATTTTAGCCGCAGATTAATGCCGATGGCTTTGGAACGTCATGTACACCAATCAAATGTGGGTGTAATGTTCCAGTGTCCACACACTTGTATCCTTGATATGTACATCACAGCCAGTGGTTCACTTTGAAAATACATGTACGGATTCTCTTGTATAAAACATGGGAGTTTGCAGTAGCCAAACTTAAATCGTGTAGCGGATGCAAAAAAAGAGCAGACCAGTAGTGGACTGTAATTTTAGAATAACATTTATAGAAAAAGTCACTCTGAAAAGCAAGGATTAGGGGTGTTGGAAGGCTAATTTGTGTTTTCTCAAAGTCAGTGATCTGCAGACCTTATTCCATTTCAATCAAAATCTCTGTAGTGTGAAGAGACGTCACAAGCCTAAGCTTTGTAACTGCCTCGGTGCTGTAGACGGATTGCAAAACAAAGCATTAAGAACGTAATATTGAAATACACAAGGGCAGGGTTATATTGATAACTTGTTTGAGAACAATCCAGATGCCATCTTAGACTTGAACAGAAAGGATATTACTATTTCTGACTGATGTTCCCTCTTAAAATGTCTATAAAACCCAGCACCAGAATGAAGAAGGTCTCATCTTCATTATTCTTTTTGGTACCACATAGGCTGGTAATTTAAATCTCTCCAGTATACTCAATATATACCAAACTTTGAAGTTTAATTTCCCTGATGTACGTCTTCCCTGCTCAGTACATGATGTCTCGTTGCTTGACTTCAGCGATGCTACAGAATAAGAGAGGATGTAAAGAGGGTGCCTCTGGGAACGAGCAAAGATGGTGGTGAAGTGGTGGCAATTTACTTTAGATTTCCCTTCGGACATTTAAGGAAATTGGGGAAAACCCTTTAGTTTTTCTAGGGCCCCTGCTCGATTTAGACATTATCACTGGTAGATGTTTCCAGAGGTGTGATGCAGTTGTCACCGAGTTGTCTTGGCTGTCATTACACCTTGAGCTGGTCCCCAGACAAAAGTGGGAGGAAACAGTTTGAAGTCATGAATGTGTTTCTGCTCTTTAACAATCAAATAACACTAAACATGAGTAATCATTGCTTTATCAAATAATGTTGCTGTGGGCCAAAGTCAAGACAATACCAGTATTCTGATGTGAAAAAGCCTGAGAATGCAAAATCTCGTGAGTGATTTGATCTTGGCAGTAGTTCCTGCACTTTAGTGCCAAAGCATTGTGTGTGTATTGAGCCAGCTTAGTGTAGATGTACTCCCAGTCTCTACCAGTACCTCCAGTTGGTCGAGCAGTGTGGTGGCCTGCTGGCGGGATCTGAACTCCTGAGGCACAGGGGAGTTGGGGGCGCTGGTTGGTGGTTTGTAAGAGTCTGATGAGGCAGGAGCTCCAGCGGTGGTGTTCAGTAGGACTTCTTTCGCAATGTCAGCGGGGGATTTAAACACGAAGGGGGGCTCAGGTGATGAGGACTTCCTCTTGGAAGAGGGTCTGCTCTTGGGGGGGTTGTAACCATCTTTGGGGAAATGGACCTTGGGTTCCACCTTGGAGAAGTCTGGTGTGCGGTAACTCGGAGGCCCTTTTCTGGAAATACAATTAAATACATGGTTAGTGCTTTATATGAAAAAACTACAATCATGATGTATGAAAACTGAAAGAAGGGAGGACACAAAAGCTACAACATAAGAACTAATTGCTATGGGAATGTGGCTCACCTGGATTCATCCATTTCAGCAGCATTAGTCCTGGCTCTTGGTGTCTGCTGCCCTTTGTCAGGACTTGCCGTCCGATGTTGGAGTTTCAAAGAGTCGGCTTTGGCTTTGCTGAGGGAACGATTACTTGAATATGTAGATTGAGGAGAGGGCTGCCTCACCTTCCTTGGTGAGGGAGTGGGCTGTTTCTGAGGCTTACCTGACTTATCCGACGCCTTTAGAGGTCCATTATTTACTCCGCTGGAATGATTTGACACACCTTCTTTAGAAAACATGGCTGCTCCTGGCTGAAGAGGATCCCCGAGCTTCACCTCAGCACAACGAGGACTGGACGTCAGGCTTACGTGGCTCCTGTGGCTCCGGTGTGATTCTGGAGGACTGTCTGTGCAGCTCATCTCTGGGAGGGTTTCGGCGTCAATCCCCGGAGCAGCAGCTAGTTCCTCAGCAGTGAAGTGGCAAAGGTGGGGAAAAGCGGGGGCGGTGACAGGTGAGGCAGGCCGGGATATTGGGCAGTGATGATTGGAGACTGTAGCAGGTCCCATGGCTAACCGGTGATATAGTGTAGGGCTGATCTCCTCCATCTCTCTTTTGGAAATAGAGCGCTCAGCCAAGCCCTTCGTGGTTCCAAGCTCTCTTGATGTGCTAGGGTGTCGATTTTTCTTCCTCTTCCTGTCACTGCTAGTCCCCGCTTCCTCTCCATCTTTCTCCTCCTCTGTCATGTCCAAGTATTTGTCCCACTGAGGGACGCACTCCATCCCCTGCTCTTCTGCTCTATCCATCAAGTCCTCAACTGCCAAAAACAAGGAGAGACGGGGAAATGGGACGACAGGTTTCAACACAGTATATGAATAAAGTGGCTCCCACAACAAAGGAGGGTAGCTCGCCGAGCGTTGTCCAAAACTCAAAATCTATTGATAAAAGGATGTTAACATTTTAGAAATGCACGTTTAACTGTTGAAATGTTCTGTTTCAATCCATATTTGCCTTTTAAAATCAATTGTGAAAATGAAAACATTTTGCTCTCCTGTCATATTCATTAAAGAAAGTCTATTTAATCCAACTCATTTAATCTGATGAATCAATATACTCAAATCGAGGATTTTGTTTGAGGAATTTTATATTTTTTTTAGGGAAATGACGTTTGAAGATTCATTGGAAACCTCAATATAAGCTAAGAATGTCACTCAGTGATATAAAGTACAAACAATTTGTAGTTAATGAGCTCAAACGTGAAAAAAACAGTAGTATTGTCCTTTACGCATATTAGTACAGGAACTAGAACATCAAAACTTGCAAAGAAATACTTTAGTCAAGGTAAAAGACTCACATGGCGATCGTATTTGTACATCCTCTCCTTGGGATTCGTTATGGGACCAATGCTGACTCAGGTTGTAACTCAGCTCCTCAGGTGTATCCCTCTCATGCCCACGAGGGTCTGCCTCCTGTAGGGGGAGGGGTCCAGGGTACAAGTTTGGATTACTTTCTGCATCTGAATCACAACAAGATGCCCACAACTCCAAATCCTCCAGCACTTCAGACAATCCAATGATGCCATTCTCATCCATCTGGCGTACAAAGTCCTCATCCTCAGATATCACAGAGCTGGTGGGTGAGGTGCGAACCGGGGCGGGGGTCCAGAAGAGAACCCCTGCTGTGGTGTTCTTTCTCATCTCCATTCACCTATCGGGCCACTTCGGCCCTCAGCTCTGACCTCAGTTACTGTGTCAGCCAAGCACAGGAATGCCTTGAATCCTTTCTCGTTGATCGGGCTCTGCAGTGAGCTCCACTTTTAAAGTCATGGCTACAGCATGTCACCGATTGCAGGTTCATGTCAGTAAGCGGGGAAAAAGTTCAGAGGCGGAGCTAAGGACGACTGGTTGGTCAGTCTTCAGTCTTGAGGAAGAGGAGATCTCTTTGGATGCAGTTCCTGAAACACAAAATAGTATCAACTCCTCAGTCTCTATAATCATTTAGCATGACACTCAAGTAGAGGTATCAAAAGGAGATCAATTGAAGGAAAACAAACATATATAAAAGGACAAGTTCATGAGTTTGGGACTGTTGGACAAAACACGCATTTTAAAGAAATCACCTTGAGATCATCTTTTTATTCACACACAGCTCCTCCGTAAACAAACGTCTACAGTCCATACATGAGGTCTTAACATGTGTCCCACTGCACATCTCTCATAAATAGATTGTGTGTATTATTGTTGCTGTCTGAAGTCAGAGGATTAAATGCTATCATAAGGTAAGGCAATCATTTCAAACAAAGAGTCACCAAATATCACTTATATTTGGTGTTTATAACTCTGACTTTGTCATAGTTATAAACACCAAATATAATTCACAGAAAAACACCATAGTGATTAAATAGTTTGCATTTAAAAGCATTTAGGTCAGCTTTAACCCTCTCAGCCTCTCATCTGGCTTCGCTGAGGACTCAGGATGAGCTGCTGTGGGTCATAAAATGAAGAATGAATTCAGGTAGTAAGCACTTCTAATAAAAACCATGCCTCTGAAAATGTGGACTATAACTGCCAGCATATGTATTTTTAATGTTTCCATCCATGATGTGCAGTCACAGTACATTCTGTCGGACACTTCCTGTGAGGTGCAGCACTGAAGGACTCGTTTCAGAGGAGAGTTCTCCGTCAGTCCACACAACAGATAAGCATCTCTATTGCCCCGTGATGAAGTCCTGTGCTGTTGGGTCGCTCAACGAAGCATTTCAAGTTCTTCATTACAGACGTATCGTACGTGTAACAGACTCTGGATCAGACTGCTGGTTCACAACGTTACACCAAGTCCCCCAAATATGTTCCTAGAGCTGCAGCGGTCACTATGGCAACGACACAACATGGACACGAGCAGCGCTTTTCAGTGTCTGCAATAAACCTTTGACAACTCTCAACATACATGCCAGCACCACACAAAGTCTGTAACAGTGCTACAAAGACAACGATTGAAGTTATACATATGCAACAGCAGCACTTACTCATTGAGCAAACACACACACACACACACACACACACACACACACACACACACACACTCGTCAGGAGAGGCACAGTGCTGTGCATCCATGCACTTGGTTGTGTTGGGGGCAGACACAAGGCTCGGTGTGTACGACTCACAGACTAGCATCATGCTCTCTCCACAACCCTTTCACACACACAAAGCAGCAGAGGCTGCACGCTGGCCAACATGGACGAACTCACCGTGCACTTAAAGTAGACCACAAGAAATGAGAGCGCGCCCATCTCAGGATAAAAAAACTTAAGAAGTTTAGAAAAGCAATAACTTGAGAAGAGAAAGAGCTCACTGGATGATTATAACATTACAGCATATACATTCCCTCACCCCAACACACAAGAATGTGCAGGGACTCCAGATGAGGACACAAGGACGACAATATGTGAAGTCATTTGATTACAACTTGTAACCAGTGGTGAAAAGCAACTAAATACTTTTTTTTTTTTAGTGCAACTTTATGCTTCCTTACATTTGAGGGAGACATTTACTTTAAATTTCACTCCATTTATCTGACAGCCATGGTGAATTACAGCAAAATGCAAGACAAGCTTATAAAATATGATGCATTGTTATTATCCGATGTACCCGTCAGTATATAAGTGTGTCAGGATCAGCTCCACCTCAACCAGCGATCACATTGAAACTACTGTTAACTAGAAGTGGGTTCTTCTTTGGTACCCAACAAAATGTGTCCGGTCAGATTTGTGCCCTTCTTTACTGGCGATAGATCCTCATTTAAAATCATAATTTTGCCAATTTTAGTAAATATTTTGGTAAACTCAGGTATTGCATCTCCACTACAGTTGGTATCCAAAGTTGTGATACAATAGGCCCTACTGCTTACATATGCATCTGTTTTTAACTAATAATAAAGAAGTAAGAACATTTTGAACGTGGTTCTGATTACATCCTCTATCCCTGCTCGTCACCAGCGGTACCTGCTCCGCCAACACTTAGAAAACGATTTCAGTTTTGGGTGGTGCAGCGTTTCTGTCTCTCACACACACACACACACACACGTTGGGTATTTACAGTACGTGCAGCCAACTGTAACTAGATTTAGAGCAAATACAGAAGAGAAGCAGACAGCAAGGAACTTCCAGTGAAATCAAAGCCATCTCTTGGTTCAAAAGCTTCTCTAGGTTTTCCATAATCGTTGGATTTCTGATACCTGGTAAGAATAAAGCAAAGAAACAACTCACCTGTTGCTCTGCTCGTCCTCCCTGATCACTCCCGTGGAACTAAGGGTTTATCGAAGCTACCAGATGGGGGGGGGAATTAAGCTGCTCTAAAGCCCTTACAGGGGGCTTCACAGATGGTAAACAGAGAATGATCATCAGTAAACATCCAGGACAGGAGGCTAGCTCAGCTCCACACAGACAGACAGACAGTCAGCAGGGCTGTAATCACCTGACTGTCAGGAGAGCTCAGGTTGGACAGGTGGGGAGGAGGAACAATAGACAGACACAGAGAGAGAGAGACACAGAGAGAGAGACACAGAGAGAGAGAGAGCAGGAAGGAAAAGCAATGACAGAAAGTCCTCCAGTCATTCCCAGTCCCACCAAAGCTGTCGTAAAGTCATTAAACCTGGACAACAGCGAGACTACATGAATTTTCACAGGATGCCGACGGCTGAATTCTGAGCACAGTGAGCACTAGTGTAGCTGGAGCTGTCCCACAAGATGGCAGAGGTAGAGCGAGTTGTGTGTGTGTGTGTGTGTGTGCGTGTGTGTCCTGTGGAGGACGGCCTAGTGACTAATATACAGTATGACAGCTAATCTTCTTAGGAGGCACAGGGAGAGCTGAAGGAACAGAACGCACTGAGCAGAGGGACTAAATAACACTGGACGATTTTGAATTGTGCTGAAATTATTAGTTCATTGATCAATTACTCGCTGGAAAGAAAAAAAAAAAGTCACTAAGGATCATTTTAAAAATGTATCAAGCTAAAGTTGTTGTGTGGATTATTAAGGTCGTATGTCTTCCTGATTATTCTAAATGGGCATCCAGGAAGATATTTGAGAAAGATTTCTAAAATCTTTCAAATAACAATTTCCTCGAAATGGCCATTCTTTTTGTTCTTGCAATGTCCTTTTGCATTAACATGATGCCATTCATCAAATAATAACTCAACAAGTTATAAAGCCTTTGGTGCTGTATATTTGCCAAGAAACAACTGCTGATATAAGAACAGAGAGACGTACTATTACACAGGGCATGGGTATCAAACATCAATACTTTGTTGTTGCAGACCGAAATGTGTTCTTAGCACAGAGAATCAAACATTATTAAGTAGTGAAAGTTGGCAATGAACTCTCTCACGATATGTACTGTAAACTTCCAGACTACACTACAGGTGAATAGGTTAAAATAAATAAATAGATCACCATGAAACTTCCCCAGTTTACAGTTACTAACATTCAGACAAGTATTTTCAGAATACAAGTTTTCTGATATTGTATGTTTGAATATGCAAATGAGGCATTATCTAATTGTAACTTTTGTTGAATTTAGGAGAAATCTACAGACACAGATAGTAAAATAAAACCTAAATGTGTATTTTGGTTGTTTTATTTCCACTAGTCTGAAAGAAGACATGTAATGGAAGCTAAATAGCCCAAAATCTCTACATTGACCAGTGCATGAAAAAACATCATTTTTTCTGAGGTGTCTCCTGTTAAACTCGGGTATCGTATTGGCAGTGGTAATGAAAAGATGTAATTAATTCCCAACCAGACTGATATACATGTACAAGTTAAATAAATCAGTAGTAGAACATATCATGAATTAATGGCTCTGCTATGAGGGGGATCTACTCCCATCTATCCTATCTCTCACACAATGCTGTTAAGTTTGATCTCCAGCCCCATGCTTTGCAATAACAAGAAGCTCCCTGTTGACTTCAACTCAAGAAGAAAAGTTGCTCAACAACTGTTAACCAAGTCCAACCAGCCAGGCTGGTGTGCAGAGCAGCACAGAGCTAACGTTTGCACAATATTAGCCTATTTGTTGCGTTTATGAGGACAATGCACACAGATCAATATAAATTACACTATTGTGCAATTAAAGTAATTGACAACAGCGTTGCATTGCAAACTTACCTCATGTTACAGATACGATTCATGCATTTCGTCGGTTCAACAGGCGAGATGTTCAGCAGACTGTGGAGCTTCACTGGAGGACGTCAACAGGTCGGTTCCCTTGAAACCCGTAAAACGTAGAGAAGACCCGCCCCGTGTCACCATGGCGCGCGCACAACAAACAGACACGGTGCAGGTTGCTGAGGTTTCCTCAAGCACTCCCCGAGCCTCCACATTCGTTACACTGCTAAATATGGCAACTTATTACTGTTGTGAACTGTAACAGAGTAACGGTGGAGTCAGAGTCCGTTTAAAAAGTTGTCTATCGTTACCATCACTTACGCGTTACTCCCAACGCCAACTTACAAAGACATCACAGCCCACATCAAGATGTCATTCAGCTGCATAATATCGGTACCTTGATGCTGGAGGAGTCACAGGAATTAATTTATCACAAGGAAAACGTGGTTTCTGGTATTTAGGAGGCTAATCATCAGTCGTGTGGAGTGTGGCGTTGATTACTGCTGGCAGAGTCCTTCAAGACAAACTCTTTTGTGGTCCTGAGTTTAGTATTTCAGGCAAGTTGTACCTTCTTACAGGCCACGTACACCTCTTTTAATCATTCAAACAGCAGTCCTAACCCTAACGTTAACCTTTTCTAAGTCTGAACATAACCATTTCATGTGTGGAGTTTGTTGCAGGTTGTGTTACCTGATAGACGAAGTTCCGGACAAATTACCACCGGGCCAAGTAAAACCAAAAAACTGAGTGGTGATTGGTTATGAGGCTGTTCAGGGGCGGGGCTTAGCGTAGATCTGGGAAGACGAGTATACAACCGAATACATTAGGGGCTTGCAGTTCAAAGACAAGGCCACAGGAGGGCACCATTTCCTAATTTAAGAAGGCTCTTTTCCTCCCTGTATTTAGGGGATTCAAATTTAATTTGTATCTTAATGGATGTCCAACACAGGTTTTCATCGATGTATACAAACATAACTAAAGAATAGAACAGAAACAAATACAAGAAATGTACGAAATTCATTTTAGAAAAAAAAAATCAAACTAAAAATTATTTGTTTTCAAGATCATGCAAAAATAAATTATATAGGTCAACCATCAGTTGAAATAGTTTTTTAAAATCTTTTTGATTCCAGCTTTTATCAATACTTAAAATAATTAGTATATTAGTAAGTACTTGTTTCGTCAACTTAGCGGAACTCAACTTCTTCCAGGACAGACCTTCACATTATGAAAATGATACATTATAAAATGATAATTTTCCCTCCCCTGTTTGAACATGACAATGACTTGCGCACAAAGCCTTGTCTATAAAAACAAATGGTTATCCAGTTCTGTGTGGAAGAACTTGACTCTACTGACCTTTGAGAGTAAAGGCTTTGATAGCAGCCTATTGATGCCGAGGATTCTGGAAAGACATGTTCAATTACACATGAATTTTTTCTTGGGGTGTCCAGTGTCCAAATACTTTCGGCCATGTAGTGGTACCCTGGATCAGTGTCAGTGACCATTAAATACTCTGCCTGTGGTACCCTGGCCCACTTTCAAACGATACCACTTTCAAATTCCACTTTCAAATTCCGTGTCATTATGATGACACGGTAGCCCACAGAACATCATTATCACTATTTGAATGGCAAATTAAATCGTCTTACGGCAAATTGTCTTTTTACAAAGGCAGCAAAGAGGAGAACTGAACAGTAATTTTATAGGTAGATGTGCAAAAAAAAAAGTTACCCAGAAAAGTAAGGCTCATCAATGCTGGTTTGCTAAATGGTATTGCTCTGTTACTGCATGTCAACTAGTTTGAAAACTGGTTGAAACTGAAGTGAGAGAAATACAGAGAGATGACTATGAAGCAGACAACAATCTGCCTTCTCTCTTCTTCATTCCTGCAATAATTGGTCTCATTCAATGATTCAATCAGTATATCATCTTGGTATGAAGCAACAACAAAAAGCAAAGTCAAAGTACAGTAGATTGCTATTTGGCTTATCAGAGAAGACACGATGGCAGAGTATTTAATGGTCACTGGCACCGATCCAAACAATAGGCTCCTGCAGCTCCCGTGTGACAAGACGAGCAGTATATAAAATGGATTGAAGGACATTTCAGTACAGTGTGTTCCACTTGCATTATGCACACTTTGCTTTTCAACGGAATAATCAAGTTAATGTATTGTTGAAGATGAAAGCCTCTAAAATCAATCGCCAAAGAGCTTGAAAGACAAAAACGACAATTTTAGAAATGACAAACATTATGTGGATCCTGAACATTACATCTAAGTTAGTGCTTCACATTTCATTCTAAACCCATGGACATTAACCTACTGCTACCACAGCCTCCACTCTTCTGGGACGACTTTCCACACGATGTTGGAAGCCGGGTTTTGTATGTTGGGTGATGAGATCTGGCTCACAGTCCGTGTTCCAGTTCATCCCAAGAGTGTTGGACGAGGTTGAGATCATGGCTCTGTGCAGGGAAGTCACGTTCTTCCTCCCCAAACTGGGGAAATCTTTCATTTCGGACTGGACTTTGTGTGGTATTGTAATGTTGAACAGGAAAAAACCTTCCCTAAAAAAAAGTTGGAAGCATATGGTTGTCTAAAATATTGTATGATGTAGCATTAAGATCTCCCTTCATTGGAACTCAGACCTTAAACCATCCGCAGGTGAAAACAATTTGGACAACAGTGTCCACATGATTTCCAACTTCAAACAGTAAACTTCAAAATAAAAGCAGACAGCGTGCAACTTTTTTTGTGCAGTTATCTTTATTGAAAAATTAAACACACTTTCTGTATAAATAGCATGTCCTTGTACAACACTCCTCGTTAAAATGTGCATGAAGCAGGCGAAGGGGACCGATGGAGTGACAGGAAAACAAAAGCAAAAGGAGGCAGCTGAAAAGCATGGCAGGCAGGGTGGAAAATGAACACCAACAAATCAAACTTGTGCAGCTAATAAAGCAGGAGGCACACTCAGTGAAACAACAAAACATCATCAATAGACTCAACAGGTGGTGTTTTATGAGTCTGACCTTTGCAGGCAAGCAGTGGTTCAGGGGTGGGGGGGGGGGGGGGGGGGAGCAAACCGTCGCACCTTGCTACAGCAACAAGACAATGTCTGAGCTGATCGTGGCTCATGTCGTGGCTCATGTCGGAGCCAAGGCCAGCACCTCTCTGTCTTGGCCTCTGATTAATGAGACTGTCAGCGGATTCCATCCTTCCCTCCATCATCCCTCTCTTCCGGGTGCTCCTTTAATATCGGATCAAAGAGAAGGCCGAGTCACTAAACATCTACAAGATGGGGTCATTATGGAATTAACTGGCGGAAAAGTGCCTGTGCTGAGGAGGGACGTTTCTGCTGTAAAAGTACGCTGTATATATATGTTTAAATTAATAAATAAGGTAAATAAAATAGCGGCTGTTTCTTTCACTGTAGAGCTTTAGTCATTCGTTTTTCACATTCTCTGAGACATGTTTGAATTTATCTGCATTTCACCTTAGCAGGGTAAAGAGATCTACCTCAGTTAAAGAGATTCAATAAAATACATATGACAATTGCAACTGTAACTTGTTTTTTTTTTTTTTTACAATTTTTCATATCCTGGAACTTGGCTTTGTTTGAAGATGTATGAAGTCTCTGTGCAACTGTTTGCTTCTGGCCGAAATGTAGTTCTTTTTTGGAAAATAAATTATAATTCTCCCAATTGTATACGTTATCTAAGTTCTTGTGTGGCTGCTTATATTTAGACAACATTTAACATATGGGGTGCTTGACTTCTTTTGTTCAAGGACAAAGTTATTATAGATATTCTTCTGTTGTCAACAAATCCATTGAAAAGACAAAAACCAACAATGATTGATCCTACTAATATATTGTATTCCTCTGTGTCATAGAGATCTACTGTGGATTAAAAACTATTGAGAACACACAAGTGAGCACTAGGTCACATGTTCCCTCCTCACACACACGGTGTATTGTCATTCAATCCCACGGACACTGCTTCAAATAATCACTAGAGCACCAAATGTGTATTAATTCGCAGCTGAAAATAGTCCCCAACGAATGCACCATTTACTCCTGTTTAGGTCAAGTTTGCTAAAAAGTCACAGTGCCCAGCTGTTTTGCAGAGAAGACAGAAAGTATTGAGAGACAGACAAACACATTGTTTGTTTCGGTCTTTTTTTGACAATAAGAATGAAAAAAGGCTTTTGTAAAAAAAGATCTAATATATCTAATTTAAAGTAGCAGGTAATATTTTGGTAGCGGTTCTGAAAGTTATTCCATTTGTAAGAGTAAGAGAACATTCTCTAATGATATCTTGCCTTGTTTGTGGAAATGTATTTTGGAGTTAATCCGAAGGGTTTTAAAATGGTTTTATTCTTCTCAGGAGTGGGAGAATTCCCTCAACCCACAGAGCAAAATGTTTTCCTTCCGGCTGTTTGAAACACCTTTAAAGTGAATATAAATACAATCCAATTTAGAGACATAGTCTGCGGTTTTCACTGGAAAGATTTAGCAAATTAAAAATCAAAAGCTTGGCCGCAGCAGTGCCAAACAAAGCACTTTTTCCCCCTCCTCCTTTCAGCTTTCCTTGTCTCCTCTCTTTGAAAGGAGTTGTCATGTGTGAGGTTTGAATGTTCAACTCGGAAAAGAAAAGCGTTCATCTGTGTGGGTGCGATTCCTTCCAGATTAGATTATTTAAGAGAGTGCTTCCATTGAGAGGACACACTCCAGCGCTCATCTGTTTGAATGTCTCTTCTGCCTTCTTATCCAGCTCAGGCTGTCTCTCACTCACTCTCTCACTCGCTCGCGCACACACACACACACACACACACACACACACACACACACACACACACACACACACACACACACACACACACGATGCATCCTGAATTTTAAGTTTGCTTGTGGTTGCGGTGAGTATGATTCTTTCCAGACATTGTTCCTATCACGTCCTGAATATGCATACAGTTAATATTTCTCCAAGTGAAATTAGTGGATGCACTCAAACGCCTCAGTAATCTTCGAGACAGAAACTCTGTTGTATAAATGGGAGCTTCTCCACATTCCCCTCAGAGATAAACAGTTTAATACGGGGGCTTTTCATCAGGCTGTTGACTTATTAATGGACAACGTAAGCTACATAAACATTACATAAATCCTGCTGCAGGACGATAGTTACTGTCAAAGCTTTAGCTGGTGAGATGTTGGTGTGATTTGCTGTTCCAGGTCGTCCTTTACTAGGCACTCTGGATTTATGTCATCTTGATTCACTTCTTCACTTGCATCATGTCATTACTTTCATGTTGACTGTTTTTTAACTGAGAGGGAAAATGAAACTTTCATAAAAAACAATATATATATATATATAAATATATATAAATACACACACACAATTCCTGAATACCAAACGAGAGACGGACAAAACTTGAAACTAGTTGTAAAAAAAATCTGGTGGACCCCAAAGCAGAGCTAAAAGCGGGGTGAGTCATCAGGTCATCAGCTGGGCCAAAACACGACTCAAGATGAATCAAAGGATATATGAACAACGTAATCTGACAATCTGTGTAAATGTTCTTGTGGAGTTCTCCTGTCTTCTAGCGGCAAAAATCAATTCATGCTGCTTAAAAAACGTTGCCACTTTCTTTGGTTTTCTTACTTCTCACTTGTAAAATGAGCAATGGAACAAAACATGGTCTTTTGACAGATAAACAAACTCAAATAAGTTGCTAAGAAATTAAAGATTCTTTAAAAAATATATATATCTTGGGATCATATTTGGGCAATATACGGGTACAGGATGTGGGTGTTTGTTTTGAAGGTTGACGTTTTGAAGATAAATGGTGTGCAAACGAAGAACGAAAGTGCTGTTCTCTTCTCTTAGCGGTCACCAGAGAGATTCAGGAGTGTTTGACGGCAATTTCTCACAGAGCTGCTCCGCTGGTGTTCTTTAGGAGGCCCACACTACCGCTTCACTCCCTCACACATGTCTCATCAAGCAGTGCCTTTGATGACATTTACATTCAGCATTATTTGCTGTCTCCTTGTTTTGAACATCATTATGTCATTCAGACAGACACAGGCCACTCGCATTAAAACACATATAACACACATCCACGCACAGATACAACACTAGTTAATTAGTCCAATTACTGCCTAGTTCTACCTGCAGCCTAATGTGAGTCTCTGGCGTGACACATGGAGGATGTTTGCTGTACATCCTCTCCACGCTTGCACTCTTCCTGTGAGGAAGCAACTCATCACAGCAACAATCACGTCTCATCTGCTGCTTCTGTCGCTCTCTCATTCTCTCTCTTCCTCTCCCTCTCGCTCCCTCTCTCCCTCCACCTGATTGCTTATCTCCTAATTGCTTTTCTATAAGTGGATAAGATCTGTGCGTGATGTGTGCGTGCGTGCATGTTGCGTGAACATGTGAGGCGGAGTGTTTCTCAAATCTTTGGCAGTGTCGTCCTCCAAATGTCTCATTACGCCCCTCTTGAGGGTAATTGCTGCACTGAGCACAGCTTCAGCAAGTCCCCCCCCCCCCTCCCCCAAGGGTGAATATAATTAAAACTATGAAATTACTAAATAAAATCATCAATTGTTATTCAGACGAGCAGGAGCAAAGCGGTCTGAGGGGGAAAAACGAGGCGTTTGATCCCCTCTGAGAGGACCTCCACATTAAACTGGCCGAATCTGAAGACATACAGCATCTTTGATGCAACTGAGCTTTCCAAAATTGCTCTGTAGAGTGAATGAATCTGAACACGACAACCTTCTCGTCTGGTGTGTCCTAGGAAACCTGGCTACAGCGCATGTTATTTTCACAGCATTTTAATATTCAGCTCGTTTAGTGTGGACGTAGTCTCAAATAATACAGATGCACACGGAGAAGTGGGAAGGAAACAGGAAATGATTTGCATTGGAGTGGAGCCCGAATGAAGATTCCCATCATAACTTTTCTTCTATGTCTGATCAAGCAAATATGAGCATGTAATGTGTATTTCTGTTATCCTTCTCGTGAAAGGATGGTAACACGCAGACATGACTGTAAAATCACCAGGATGGACTGAATTATCATCATCTTTGAAATATATCACTATGTAGCGATGATGCAACAGAGGTTAAGGGTTTTATAATTCATATAGGACTATCTTTATGTGTACACTATATATGCATCTGTATCTACATTTGTTCATTTTTACATTTCCCAATCCGAGTTCGTAAAGTCGAGCAGGGATCAGTCTTAGATGTGCAGTTGTCTCTCAAGGTAGAAGCAAAAGAGAAATAAAACAAACGGACCACGGGATGTGGTCGTTTTACGAGAAGTTCCAGTCGGTTTTGAATGGTTGTAAATCCACAAGTTTTTTACGACGGACGGGAACAAAAGAAAGATGTATACGTCTCACTAGTTTCCATTTTAGTGCATAAGGTCTCACAGTGGGGAGGTAACACGTTGAGGAGCATCCTGAACAAAGTCCACGGCGGAAATAATACTTTGTAAATGTGAGTATCATGTATCCGGAATGAAGGGTTGGTTTCTAGAAGGGCTCAGGGATCAGTTGGTGGTTCGTTTGTGTCAATCTTAAAGAGTTGTGCCATTTAAAACAACAGACGCTTCAATTTTTTCTTTCTTCTTTTTCCTCCTCCCGGGACGTCCTCGAACCCCTCTTCTCTCGGCGCCGCACCCGTCATCGTCCTCTCTCCTCCTCCACTCAGCTATAGCGCCACATTGAACTCGGTCACCAGGAAGTCCACGTGGTCCCTCTCTTTGGTCTTGAAGGCCTCGGCGATGAGGCGTGCGGCGTCCCTGTGCTCGCGGCCCCTCATGGAAACCCCGTTTACCTCCAGGATCACCTGACCCACCTTCAGCTGGCCGCAGTTGTGAGCTGAACCACCTCTCTAACAGACAGAGAGATAGAGACAATGTGAATTTTAAGAGAACTAAACTCTACATTTTGAGTAAGAACTGCACAATAAATGGGCCTCGTGTCAGAGCCACTCGTATTGACAGTTTTGTTCATAAGCAGCACGAACAAGATACACAAGAGAACTTGTTGGGTTCATTCATTTTTTTTAAATTTAGAAACCACTCACTTAGACACAAAAAATCCCTTTTATTGTACAATTAATGTCAAGATAAACTGCCTTTCTCTAAAATGTGAAAAGAATCAGAATGCCTTCATTTGAATAAATTTGGAGTTTACGGATGCTCTCACACTTGTACTTTGGTTCAAGGAAAAAAAAAAGATGCATCACTGCTTCTTAACCCTACTCTGGTTTGTGTTCACACTGACCTATTACAAACAAACCAAGAGCTGTAAACATGGAGTTGTACAGACTGACAGGTGACTCACTGACTGACAGTTATGTCGACATGCCAACATTCCATAGATCACGGGGGCGGGGACTGAGAGCAAGTCATGCTGCTCTTCTGTGCCTCATGTGTTTATTCATCTTGTCTGATGTCAAAAGATAACTTTCAAAGACTCAAGACTGCAACTGGACCTCCTCATCATAAATAGTGTCAAACCAACAGCACGTTTCCCTCTTTTCACTCACTTCTATTGGGGAACTGCCAAAGTACACAAAGCAGGACTCAAGCTCAACACACCTCTGGTTTTACTCCTTGTCACTTTCTAATGTGTCATGGAAAACACTCATACGTGTCACCATGATTCTGTATAAATACAGGCTATAGATTGTGTGTATGGATCCGGACATCTGAGTTGGATTTAATAGTTAGCTTATGAATTCATGACAAAGTCACATCTCTGCTTTCACACAGTCCTGTGGATGGTTGGTTTTACTTTAACACTACAAACAGACTGTGCTGGTGACCATGACCCTTCTTTTCAGGCGGCCTCGATCTGGTTGTTAAGTCTGCACCAGAGTTCCATTTAACGGAACCAAACTGGTTAAGCGTGAAAGCACACGAAATTTCGTCTGAAATCGGCTGAGTTTTGACAGCTGGACTTGAAGCTCTGCAGTTTTTCTCTCGGGTGAATGAAAGTTGGAGGTGTGGTTTATACTAATGATCACATCTCACAAATGCATCTACTCATGAACTGATGGCATTTATCAAGTTCATATGAGCAATTTGCTAAATCTGACTTGGAAGCCTCGAACAAGCGAGGCTCACAGAGTGATGCACAGGTTTAGGATAAGAATAGGACACTGTCCTTGCCTGAGGCCCTATAAATTTATTGTTACAACTATTAATTCATCGCCAAATTTACTAAATGTCATGCTAAAAATACAAATGAAGGCCAAGAATGCCTTTCCCATCTACTGCATGAAGACAACACAAACATCTCCTTCCTTGTCTTGTACAACACCAGGAAAATATAGTATATAAACACAACATCAAATGTGAAAACGTGAAAAATGTAATACATGTTATGTAAATGAGCAGGGACATACGTCATATCTGGTTGCTGTCTTTGTTTGGCTGAAGAAAAATGGTCACAGCTCAAGCAAATGGTTGAAAATCCACTTTACTCTGCAGCAGACAGAATACCCAGGGTCAGGAAATTTCATCACAAAAACGGCAAGTGTTCTTTGTGCTTCCGTCTGTGATCGAATGTAATCACCATGGCAAAAATCCCAAAGTTAAAAATGATCATTACATAAAAAAACTAACTGCGGCCCAGCTCCAAGAAGCCCACTCGTCTCTGTAGCTCAGAGGCTCTGCAAACAGTTTTTACGAGAGTCTAAGATTCTTACTTTTGTTCTGTTACACCAGGTCCTCTCGGTACACAAGTTAGAATTTAATCACCACACCGTAAATGTGACAGGTGCTTCATTATTATACTGAAATAGAGCCGCGCTGTTACTGAAAAATGCATTCACAGGAGCGCAGATGCATAAATACACACACACACACACACACACACACACACACACACACACACACGCGCAGTCCGGCCCTGTCCGGCAGTAAATGTGCCTCGTGCCTTTAGAAAGAAGTGAAATGCTTTCTCCTGACTGGCAACACTCCCCACTTGCAGTTCTCATTCTCACACATGTCATATGGGATTAGAAACAGGCCGTCTGTCATTGACACCCTGAGACATGCGCAGGACACATGATGTTGACTCAGGTCTCATTTCTTGAGTGAGTCTCAGCTCCTTGGCAGTGAAATCAGAAGACTCTCCCTCTACCACTTTTGGTTCTGATTTGTTCACCGTATAGATCAGCAGATCTGCTTCTCCTCTGCGGTCACATGCCCAGAGGACAGATATAAGTGGTGAAGTCATGGCTACCTCCGATCACAGTCAAGACAGCTCAGACCAGTTTTTCATCTAAATTACTTTCATTATACATTCAAATTTGGACGTCCACCAATGTGGGTGGTTTAAGCTATTTCCCAGTCAGCTTTTTCCTCAACCTAACCTGATGCTTACTACAGCTGATAAACCCACTGTACACTACCTGCCCAGCACCAAACAGCAGACAGACACAGTTAGCAATTAGATGGTGAAGAAAGTTAAACATTTGGCATTTAGCAGCTAAAAAGACCAAACCAGAGCTAAAAGGAAAGTTAATATTGGACTTAAATTGATTAGGTGGACACAAACCCAACTCCAAATCAATGTAATGTTGCTCTGTGTCTGCAGGATGTCTTTTTGCTAACAATAGCAACTTTAAATGACAACAAAATGTCAGAGCAGTGTGTCTGTCAGCTTGTTGTGTTCCACCAAGTAGCCATACAATATACAGCCCAGTAGCCAGAAAGACAATGTTGGCATTGTATGTTTCTGAAAACCATGGGATCAGTTGAATGTTAATGTTTCTGATCCAAAAACACAAGTTTTATAAATATGTAATTCATATCAGCCTTGTATCACGCTTGCAGAAACGCACATTGCCACTTGGTTAACGTGGTTAACCGATTGGTTATGCTTAGGCAACAGAACTACTTTGTTGAGGTTAGAGAAAAGATCGTAACTAGCGTGAATAAATAACCATCCTTAGCGGACTTACGCTACGCAACAAGTGTCAATGTGTACTTTTGGTTTCACACTGGACATGAACAGCAGTCTCCTGGTTGAAGGGCCTGTGTTTGTTTGACCCATCCACCATCCCACCCTCTCACACTTTGTGGACTGTCTCGCTCTTTCTACTATTTATTATCACTATAAGAAGGTTATTATACCACATATCTTCTATAACAGTCGCTTGAGAAACTACTGCACTTGCCCTATGCATTGCTCGTTGTACTACGACACTTGCTCTGACCTAATTCAAAAACGTCGACATTCAATGCATCTGTGGTTTGCAGAAATCTTTACTATGCCGACATTTTTATCCTGGCAACTGGGCTGAAATGATGCTTTAAACTTCATTTAAAAATGAAAAAGAAAAAATAACAAAAAACTCCCTTTCTTGTGGTCTTAAAAACACACCAAACAAGACACAGACTCGCGCTTTCCTTTCTGTCAGCGCCATGTCCTCCTACTCCTGATTCCAACAGCTGACCTCATTACGTGCGACTTTGAAGGCTGAAAACACCGGCAGTGCCTTCCACATCAGGACGGCATCGTCACCTCTCGTATTTACTGAGCCTCCAACAATTACTGAGCTAGCGGAGCGCTCGGTCGTCACGATCGGAAGACGGCAGCGATAACAAGCTGTTGCTTCAGGAGGTGTGATGTGGGCTGATAACGACCGGCCGGCAGCAGCTTACTCATCTGCACTTCATCCTCAGCAGCAGTGATTGAGGTGACTCGAGGCGAGAGCCCCTCGTGCCCGGAGAGATAGGAAGCAAGAAATTTGCTGTATCACGACTCCACGGTGCTTACTTCCAATACTGCAGAGAAACGATATTGCACAGGGCACTGGCTTTGATGCGACCTGCCCCCCGGACAGAACCGAAGCCCATCAGACAGTCAGAAACAAAATTAATGTTTTTTTTAATCAAAGCAAATGTATCATTCTGATTCTTGGTCCTGACCGGGGGAAGCACTGAGGTTGTGAGTGCCTTGTTTAAGGGTCTAATAACATTGAGTTAGCATTCCCCAGGTGACAGAGCAACGTTTTCACGGCTCACTTCTCCATCGTGAAAACTGAAAATTCCAGAAAAGTCTTCCTCGATTTCTGTAACAAGTGGCCTTGAGGCTACCATGTTATTGATGCCTCTAAATAACTGTGAAGCCACACAGCGTTATTGTTCGGGGAAGCAGCATCGGTGTCATGTAGCTTGTGGCTTCCTCTCGCTTGGGATCGATAGGGTTTGCACCTCAGCAAACCAAAGTTTGGATGAAATCTGTGCAATTCCAAAAGTGTGGAGCTGTAATCAAAGACCCAGCAATCATTTTAACCTGATTACAATTTCAATCTCCTTGTCTGAAAGGATTAAATGAACTTTAACTCTGTTAAAATGAGTTACATCTTATTAATTTTAACCTTTTTCGGGCCGTTTCACTGGACCTCCTCATGCCACAGTCATTCTCTCTGCTATTATCCATTGCACTCAGCTGCCTTTTTATTGTTATGAGTCTCTCACTCTAGCGTCTGTGAGATTTAGAGGAATTGGTTATGGGTCGAACCATTTCAGTGGCTTCATCTCTCAGGTGTAACCTTAAGAGCATCTCTTGCTCTGTGTGATTATGTCGCGGACAATCCTTGGCTGAATTTGCTTCTTTTTTTCAATAGTCTCATGGTTTAGTTATTCTTTGTGATAGACGGGATGCGCTTATTCAAAAATGTGCAAGGACTTTGAGATGGTTATCTTTTCAATATTGTACTCTCTTGAAAAGCGGAGCTTAAAGAGACCACTGTGGCTGATTTTACATTTTTTGCCCATGTCACACGGAGGAATAAATTCCACTCCAATGAAAACAGAGTCTATAATACCCCAAGCACTTTCATCAAATTGTATCTATGAGTTTGTGATTTGT